GGTGAGGGAATACATACCAAATGTGAATGTTTGTCAAATGTCAGACATCAACAGGTCCAAGTGACAATTGTAGGTGAAAAGAATTTTTGACAGCATTTGGTAATCTCTCATGCAATCATGCTCAGAAGTTAAACATTTGTCCAAATAGACTCTGATAGAAACATGACTGTATAGATTGTAAATTGGCTGCAGGCCTGATGGTAAAAGGATGATAAATGATGTGTAGAGTTGGCAGAGAATTTGTGCCCCAGTGTCTTTAAATCTTTGGGTAATGATCTAGAAAAGAGAATAAACACATTACATTGGCTACGCATTCATTAATGAATATTAACTTATGAGAAGCTGTAAATACCATGAGAGCAGAGAAATAATGCAAAGGGGATAGAGAGCTTAACACAAACACAGAAAACAAAATGAGGCTCACTTTAGAAAAAGTAAGTTCCTCCGTGTGAAGGAAATAAATCAAACCAATTCAATGGGGAATAAAAACCTGAACATCAGTAATGCTGAAAGAGGCTTAAAGGTGGTAAGAGTGTGCCAATTAGCCATAGGTTTATAAAGCAGATGAGCAGAAAGTGAGCCCAGGGCAATTTTGTACCTGTGAAGAGGGCACAGGAATAGAAGTAAAGATGTCTGGGTCCTGCTCCTGGCTCTGCTGTTCAGTGTGACTTGGCGCTTAGTCAGACATGTCGGCCTTCCCCATGCTCTCCAGGACTATAATTAGAATGGTTCTAGGCCTCCATGTTACTAGAAGGATGACCTAACAAAACAGCAGGAAGAGCAACTTAAATGATGAGGAGCTGGAGGAATTAAGTTGTCATTTAAAGAGCTACATCCATTTACAAGAAACTTTGAGGTTTCAGCTACTGCACAAGGCCTGTGTGTCCCCATGTTCTTCCAATACATGGGACTTCAGAACCTCAAGCACTTGGAAACCAGGAACTGCTCAGTTAAGCTTTCCCATGCTTCTTCATGTACAGTCATCCTTAGTGCAGCCTCTTCTCAGGACATTACCTGTTCAAACATTCTTTGGTCAGTAGGACATTTTTGCCTCAATTGCAGAACAATCATAGGAGAAGGTCCTTAATATGTTGCCAGCATCTCTAATTGTGATTGTTCAGGCGGAAGCAAGGAGAAAAGGCAAGTCACCTTGGTCTCCACCAATCAGCAGCAGATCTCCTCACATGAGTGCTGATCAGGGTAAAGTAAATAAGTGACTTGAAATCAACAAGCAGGAAACCTTGATTTAAAACATCATTATAAAGCAAAAAGGTAAAACATGGTTCAGGTTACATCCCTAGTGAAGGGTTGATTCTCTTCGGTTATTAACCACTAAACATGTAGCTTGGTTTCCAAATGTAGCCTGTACACTAAATGTGGTGCTTTTTGCTGACCAGGAGGAGAAGCCATGTCTCTCTGCATGTTCATTTAAGCAATTATATAATTTAGATTAATTAAGAGTCTTAGTGTTCATATTTTCTATTGTTAGACAATGGTGAATGATGCATTTTTATTTACTAGATGATTAATTATTAACCTGCAATTTGCATCAAGCTGTATTTGGATGAAAATGCAAATATAGTGAAAATGCGCAAAACCAGCATTTTAAAGTGTTTAATTCAATAAAACTACCTTGAATGTTCTGGACAAAGTATTATTTCTAGCTATTGAATGAAATTGATTGTTCCTGATCACCCTGTCTGTCATTACTTTAGAATTAGTTGATTTTGTCCTCTTGGACTCCGAATGTTAAAATATGATTACTTAAACACGTACATGTTCAGCTGCTAGACAGTTACACACAGGGACAGGCAGCTCCTGCCTGCTGCCCTCTGTATCCAAGGCACTAAGGTCGGCAGAGGAAACCAAGCTTTCCTGCTTTTTCCACTCCCAGTTGGCTTCTTAACTTTGAAAGTTGAGCTGAACTAATTGGCTAAACTGAAATGAAGAAAGGAGTTCTGTGGACCTGCCGTCAAACACTACTTCAGTGAAGTCTGGTTCCAGGTGCATAGCCAGTGACTTCCACCCATTTAATTTCACCAATTTTTTTTAGACTTTGCAACAAAAATCCTGCTTAATATTTATATTTAATGTAAATGATTTTAAACTACTATATTTTATCATTTAAATGGAAAATTCATTTTTTTTAAAATTATGGATTTGTGCCCACTCTGGTGCTGCCTTGCAGTCCACTGCTTGTTCCATCAGACTGTATGAAGGGAGCTCTAGCTTGGTGCTGTGGGCACAGAAAATGTCCCTGTTAGATTGCCAGGGTGCTGTGCTGTTTCCGTCTGCATCCAAGGAGAGGCAGAGTTGTGTGTACGGCACAGCAGTACCGTAAGTGGGATTTCCCGGTCTTCCTGTGTTCGAGGTGGAAGTTTTGAAGGTCCATGACTTAGAAGAGCGTGGGGATGTTGTGAATCATTTTAGTTGTTTCAATCTTAATCCCTCCAGTCCAGATCATAATCTTCTAAATTTCTTCCTCCATAGGCATCTGCTACTCCTCTAACTGATGTACCTATGTCAACCCTAAATGTTGCTGCAGCTGAATTAAGGTTGTGTTGTGCTGTGAGGGAGGTTCGTGTGCTGCTGGCTAGTGGTTTTGTACTATCTGATGGCAGAAGGAAATTCCTTTGGAGAGTATGGCGCTTGTCGATGGATGCAGTAGGGGGCATAGCTCAGGGGTCGGCAACCTATGCGCATGCCTCCGTATGGGACTGTCCCAATTTTAAGTGCCATTGCTCCTCGCATGGTGCAGCAGCCTCCCCTCCTCCCTTGTAAAGGCAGATAGGCAGCTGTGTTGGAGCTTTGCCGGTGGGGAGCCAGGGCAGCTCCCAGCGCTGT